ACAATCCTGAACATTCTCTTCATGGCTGATATCAAACAATAGAGTGTTCAGTGTTCAAACGCAGACTGCCACAGGACATCCCTGCTGCCTACAGCCATCGACATCTACAACAACTGTGAAGAAAATAGGATGAGTTAAAACGACATTTAATTTGCCTCTGGGATTAATAAAGTATATTGGATTTGAGCAGAACTAAACTAAGTAGTGTTACTTTACGGGTCGCAGTAAATAAACTAAAACAATGGCAACGTGTTATTTGTAAGGCATAAAACATTATGCAACTTTCATGATGTCTTATTCTGTATATTTTCTCAGATAATTTTACCTGAATCACACTATGGACTTCCATGACAGCTCACAACACAGAATGTGCTTTCTGTTTTTACATTAGGAATATAAAATAATCTCAATTTATTTATTTTTTTGTGGTCTCAATCACAGAGCTGTGGCATCAGTTACATAATAATAATCTATTTGAGGCCTTTCGCCCTGTTCTCATCGCCTCGTGTTAATCTTCCTGAACCAAGCCCTAAAGGGCTCTATAGTCTGTAAACTACAACAAATAATGTTTAGTTTAGTTTTTTTAAAATCTGAATTTCTACCTTGGAGCAATATCTAAATTAAGTATTTAAATTGAAGTTTTGAAATTCTTAGTTTTAGGTGCATCTGTGTGAACCTGGCAAACAAATATAAAACATATGATGTAGCAGCCTTCTCTGAGTAGGCCGAGTTATTTAACATGCTAGAAACCCTAAACCTCAATGGTGCTAATTTTACAAGTTGTCTAACATGTGTCTCACTCAGTGTTGTCCCAAATGTCAACTTGTACCTTCAATGTCGGTCTGAAGACGTTAAAGACAGAGCGGAAATCGTAAAGAATGTAAAAGAAAAAAAAAACGAGCAACCACCGTTCTGGGAGATTCACAAGCAACGGTTTGTCCACTATTAAGACTGTCCTACCTCTATATGTTGATGAAACCTGCTAAATGCTTCCTTCATCAACTAAAACACTAGTTTATCAATTTTTTTTCTTGTTTTACTGTATTTCCTTAGGGTTAATATGTTTATATTGTTTATTAACACACTCAAATTCAATTTCCAGCAATAAGAACATCATTACTTGCCGGCATTACTTGGTATCTCAAAAACAACATATTTCTCATAGCGAGAAGAGAACTTGTTCTAATCCACACTGCATATCGAGAATTACTCTCATATACTCCAAACAACATTTCCGCGACCAATTATTGAATTCAAGATACTGATTAGATAAAGCACTTGGAAAAAAATAACCTACCTTTCTCTTCCCAAGGTCTAGTGACAACACTGACACCAAGAGGTTCACTTAAGGACTGCAGCCCTAGTTTCATAGATTAGAAATAACCTCACATAACATGCATATTTAACATGTGTGTGTGAAAAGGAGCAACAAAAAAAAAGAGAAAGAAATAGAAACAAACATAAAAAAAAGCCACACAAGAACATAAAACCCTGCTGAGCTGTTTAAATACTTGGCTATAAAAATGGCCTCTCATAAGAGTTCTGTGTATCAGACCGGAAATTCTGGATAAAGTATACCTCATTGTCCTAAAACTACTCACCATCCACATGGCCACAAGAACAATGCATGGCTGTCAGAAGACTAAAGCACCACTCTGGGAAAGGAGAGGATGGAATCAGAAGAGTTTCAGATTTGGATCATTAATCTAAGTTAAATCAGTCCCATCTGCTTCCTTACATTCTACTTTTAAATATCGTCTGCTTCATAACTCCATCAAATCTGACCGATCTATGATTTGGAAAGACACAAAAAGCCAGTCATCAAAACAACATGTAATAAAATCACAAAGCACCGCATAATCCTTAGAAATGATAACCCAATCGCCACACTCGTATTGGCTCACATCTGTAAGCAGAAACATGGGTCTCCCACTTGTGTTGTCATTAAAAACAGAAACTGTTTCCCCAGCTCCTCATTTGATCCAACCCCCACGTTCAAATCCTTAACCACATAAACCACCCGTCAGCTAAGTCCACCCCATGTTTCGAGAACAAAATTCTTTCTTTGCAATTGTTCACACATTCCTCCCTCGTCGTGTTTATACAGATGCCGCTCCATGTGCTCTCCGGGGTCGTAAGAAGTCCTACACCGCGGCCCGAAGATGTGCTGTTGATCAAAGGCGTTGGAGCTCGAGGAGAAGCGCTCGTTTCTAGTTGTTTTTGTTCCCTCTTTCTTCTTCTGTGGGATACAGGTTGCCGCATCCATCTGCTGGCCTCATGTATCCACCTTAGTCAGTGCTGAGACAAGTGTAGGCCTCTCTTTCTTGCTGTCTCAACCATGTTTACTCAGCTGGTTTCCACGGCAATCACCAGGGCTTTGTTTTTGCACAGCAACATGTGTTAACTTAATGCTCGGTAATGGATTTCAAAGGCAAGCTTAGCAGGTAATAGGGCAATTTATTGATTCGTTTGCTTAAAATTAGTCTTAATTGTAAAAGAAAAATGAAGCACACCTCTAAGAAGATTTAGGCTCAAGACAGAATAAAAACAAACAAACAAAAGCTAATGCATTTTTTTTTTCCAAGCTCCGCAAACAGTTAAAGAGTAGATAAACCATATAATAGTCAAGAAGACATGAGGGCTAACGTTGCCGGGCCAGTGTGCTCAGCCCGTCCCATATGTGCAGAATTTGGTTACAAAGTCCCAGTGGTTGTTTTCTTGCTTGATTGGATTATGGCCACACACCTTAAGCTCAGCTTCCACCACCAATCAATGAGGAAATGAGGTGTCAACACTCTGGTGTTTATTCAAACACTCATTTATTTTTCTACCGGAAGCTAAGAAAAGCTCGGCCACAGAGGACTGCCAGATGGGCAAGAGGGAGTCTGGTGAAGCATTTAGAAGAACTGGAGATTATTAACGGTGTTAGCGAGTCTTTTATTGTATGGAATTAGTAAAGTACAGAGTTCATTTTCTTTATTGCGCATTTGTGAAGCACAATAATGTTTTTATAATGACTTTTTAACTACATTAACATATCGCGGTATAACATTACCGAGATATGCTAACATTTATCTCCGGAGAGGAGACGTGCTTTAAAGCTTCAAGCTGAGCATCCATTTGACAAAGCTAAAAAATGTTGATGAGAAGACAGCAGAAAGTCTGTAATGCTTCCAGTCAGCATGAGGTGCCATCAACATAAAATTCTGCACAGTAGCCGCCACTTAATACAAACGGGGGCAATCGAAAATTCCCCTTCCAGTTATAGACCAATGCTGCTGCATTACTATTGTAGCATGAATGCCAAGTGTCTGCACGGCTTTATGCCCCCTCTCTTAATTGAAAACGTTATAGGGGTGCATTACACTTAGGCTTTTTATAGGTAGTGCTATAAAGCCCTAGCAGGCCCTGTGAGGGGAAACTGCCCATTAACTTATAAGGTCCAGGCCTTGGCTCTCTTAATTGACAACCTCTAGGCTACTTTCATCACTTGTCGACTTCATAGTGGCAGCCAATGCTTCCTCCAGGATGCTGTTGCATCTTTGACATGAGGGTGTTTGTGACAAAGAGCAGTCTGCCGCCAACGCCGCGACGAGAGCTCTAGGCTGTCCATAAAACAAGCACACGCATTCCTTCCAAGAAGGCTGCATTTAACCACTGAATTACTGGGTCACAGAAAGACACGCCAACATTTAGTATGAACAGTTTCTGTTTAAGAGCCAGCTGTAGCGTATTTCTGCCAACGGAGATATCCTGAAATGTTAGTCTAACTTCATATATGCTTAGAAACTTTGAAGCGTGACAAATTTAAAGGAGCTAGAGTAACGGTATCTGTGAAAACGTCAAGTTAAACAATGCAAGCACAGTGTTAAACACTTAAAGGCAGACCTACAAGACTGGTGTGAAAATCACTTCACACTTTAACTTAGCAAGACGGTCAGTTTTGTGCCTCTGGAAATTTATGCCTCCTCAATTACACCCACATGTCACAAAGTAGCTGATGGACTCACAACTACCTCTGGAATATTAAAAACACTCGCACAGGAATTAAGCCGTTGTAAGTTCACTCCTCCCACGAAACACTAAGACGGTAGAAACTCCTGAAGTGTAATTTTGCAGGATCATTCAAAATCAGTCAGTTGAAATAAAATAGATTTTTTTTTTGTAAGAACTTTACAAATGTATGACATCGTTATCATCCAACCAGTTAAATTGTTATGGCCTCGCACAATTTAAAATTTTGGGATTTAGCTGAACTTAGAAGTCCATTGACAATGATCAAAGCCCGTAATGAGCTCTTTACTTGTTTTAAAAAAAAAATAAAGGTCAGGATAAATTTTAAAAACTAGGTTTGGTTTGATAAGCTAAACAAACAATGTTTTATGAGTTTCTAAGGAAATGGCTTTTTTGGAAAATATACAGGAATAATGCTACTGTTTTGATTTGGACAATGCTGTGCAGACTAAAAGAAGCTAGTTACCAGATTTTTTTTTTCTGAACTGTTTAAAAAAGACCAAGGTAAAATAAATAGCTTTATTTTCAGAAACATACAAGTTTGAACTCCATCAACATTTCGGATTTCTCCAAAAAAATAAGACTGGCTTATTAATAATGCACATTCTGTGTCCAAACATATTGAAGTCAGTTAATTTTAAATTCTAGTTGTTTATTTCACATGTTAAACCTGTTAAATATTACCATGACCAAAGTTGAGTACTGCAACATTTGTTTACATGACTGTTTTCTCCTGTATGTTTTTTTTTTTTCTCACAGATGTTGATCTTATTTTAGTTTGACAAAAGCATATCTAAGCACATATTAGCTGCATCGTGTAGCCACAAAACCTTTATAAGCTTCGTTAATTCAAGTTCAAACCCTCCTGTTGCCATGTTGCAGCCGACCGCTGCAACATGGCAACAGCCCGAAATGTTGTCTGGAAATGATTTCTACACGCAGCAAAAAATACTCAGGGTCATGTAAACATTCAGAAACAGACTTACTGTGCAGGAAGACGTCTCACAGCTCTGACTATGTGCGCCGCCATGTTTTTTCTGTGACGCATGAGACAAGTCCGCAGCGATTGGCCTCAAAAGTGACGCCCACGCGCTGCTTCAGTCATTTGATTGGATCGGGTCGTAAGAGGGGCGGGGCTTGGACTCCTACGAGCACATGGTGAAGTAAACAGGAAAGATGCACAGAACTTGCTGGCAGCAGGAGACTGTACAATGCAGACTTTTGTTCTGTAATAAATATAGTAAATCCGTTTATTTAAAAGTTAGAGTGAAATTATTATTATTATTATTATTATTATTATTATTATTATTATTATTATTATTATTATTATTATTATTATTGTTATTATTATGTGCTGGTTGCCTTCTTTTTGACTGCCATGTCCAAGAGAGAAACCTGAAAAATATTTTTGGAAAAAAGCCCAGAGAAAGAGAGAGAGAAAGAGAGATTTGTGGACAAGGCATTTCACCCCAGGAGTTGTCTCTCACAGCAGTGGTGAATTACTACCACCACCATCAGCCAGGTTCTGGTGTTGTGGACAAATGACACGCAGGATTTCCCGTGAGGAGGTCTGCAGGGGTTTGGCTTCAAATGTCAGAGTTCAAGGGCAGTTGTGTAGCCCTATTTCAGAAATGTGTGCTAATGTTCATTTGTCTTACTGTACACCTTGGAAACTAGAAAACAAAATGATTTGGTTACTTTTTTCCCCCATTGCCTATCAATAAAAACTATTTTATTAGGTACAGATATGTTTTTTCAGTCATTGTTTAAGGTAAATTGCTGCCCCAAATTACTTAAAGAATATAAACTGTTGTGCATACAAGAACAACATTTTTGAATATATTAATCAGTTATCTCTTTAGATAACTTGTAAAAAAAAATATCATATTACCACGATTTAACTATATTTTTTGTTTTTTTGTTATGATTTATAGGTGTGCAAAAATTATAGAACAAATTCATTTTGCATGCATTTTCATACATTCTGCTTGTTGTCCACGGTCAGTGCTCCTTGAGTATGCAAAGTATGATTCATGATGCTACTTAGGACTGGAAATATATTTGAGATGTCAAATTTGGTTTTTATTTTAAGCAAGACAAAAGTGTAGTCAGCTGCTGAGCTAGTTTTATGCACCAAAAATTTGGAACAAACTTCCAGAAAACTGTAAAACAGCGGAAACCCTGGCTTCCTTTAAATCGCAACTAAAAACACACCTGTTTAGAATTGTATTTGAAATGTAATATGTAACAATGTATTGTCTATTATATGTTGCATGATTTTGTGCTTTTGTGTTTATGATGTAAAGCACTTTGAAATGCCTTGCTGAAATGGTCTATAAAAATAAAATTTGATTTGATTTAGTGCATAGCAACATTTTGGTGGAGCTGTGGCTTTCTTTCACATCTTTTTGAAAGGAGCTTCATTATATAATGGAATATTTTTCTGTGTTTTCAAATCAGAAAACATGACGATTTCAAATAAATATAAAAAAAGGACATTGAGCTAAAAAAAAAATCCATTACCAGTTTTACGATTTATTTTTTTTTTCCACGATGTAAATCTAAGAAAAATTGAGAATTTCTTGACATCTAAATAAAGCAAGGAAGGTTTCAAATCAATTCTTGCGTAGGATAAAAAAAATTAAATAAAATGCATCAAAGTAGGAAAATTCCATCTATGGGTTACTTGGAAACTACTTCATTCCCTCCCCCTTCTGTTCATTGAACACAATTGTTGTCCACTAATCCAGTTTTGATAGCATTTGGCACACTTTCTTTGGATCACAGCAAGATGCTCAACTTCCATTCTGGTCTCCCCTAGGAACCTCTGAGCCCGGGAAAGGCAGCCGACACCAGGTCGCGCCAGAGCGGGGGGCTGAGGAGGGGAGTAGGGTTCTCTGTGTCCTCATAAAGCACAGAAAATTATTTTTTGATCCGAGTCAACCCCAGACACAAGCACGCACACACGGACCTGCTCGCAGGCTCATCAGACTGGCAGTTAATTTGAGATATATGCTGAATGCACGTTTATTCTTGTCAGTCTCTTCTGTTGTTTAATGTCACTATCACCTAATGACCCGCCAAAAAGCAACAGAATATAAAATATTATGTCAAAAGGGTAAGCTTTTTTATTTTTATTTTTTTTTGCCCGTGTCCCCCTCTGTAGTCTCCCCCTGCCCCCCATCCAAATGTACAATGCATCACTAGGCCTCGATGCCTCAGAAGTCTGGGTTCATTAAAATCTTGAACGAGTGCCAAAGCTGTAGTCAGAGATAAAAAGAATATGAAAGGATAACAAAATTTATGGATGGCAAGACACCACCTCACCCTGGCATTTATAATAAACAAATGGTTTCTGTTTCCAATTTAAATTTCTCATTATACTGTGACTTTTGGAAAATGTGTTTTGATTTACCAACATTTTATCTGAAAAAACTGTATAATTGATTAGATTTACATGGCTCTGATTTTGATGCTGATCGCCTGCCTCCCTCCCGCACCCTCCACAGCAGCCCTCAACCCACCTCCCCAACCCCTAGCCCCTACCCTTCACCCCCACCACAAAAAAAAAAGAAAGATCTGAACAACTCCTGAGGCACATTAACATCATATAAAACAAACCCACATATCAAACGGGCTTTTTTTCTGATAAAATAATTGGTTTAAAACCGGCACAGAAGCCAATTCAGCCCTTTGAACGGAACCTCTGTGAGGGCACCACAAAAAAAAAAAAATAAATAGTGAGATAGACTTCACAGCCCAAGTGAGATGGACATCAATGCAGTGTGCCAGCAATGGCTGTATTAACCCATGGCTAAATCCCATCAGACAAATGTCAGTGTATCCGTTATGAAACCATGACATTTAGATCCAAGGTCTCCATTGTGGTTTTAGAGGGAGCCGATGTTTGTCCATTCTTCGCCTCCATCAAACCCTCGTATAGCCTCACAGTAAACTGTACTCTGAACATGAAAAGATTAGAGATCATAGGACTAGATTTATTGCATCATACACTTTGATATTTTGGTGACATTGCAAAAAACAATTGTAGGTATAATGTAATTATAATTTTTATATATGCATATATTTTTTTTAATATTTAGTTCGATCTGCAATTCTGCAATTTCTTGGACACGTATGAATACTACTTGAAAGTTTTCACAATTTGTTACACTACCTGAAACTTGAAGTAGTGTGGACAAAGCACTTTGTGATACTTTGTCCAGGTAGACAAGGACAGACCATCACAAAGTGAGATCTTTGTAACATTTAACTATGGTTTAATCCAAACCATTCTATCAAGCTCAGGCTATATATTTAGAACTTTTGTTCAGAAAAGTGAACTTCCACTCCAGTCTTTTGAAGCCTCAGATTTTTATCCAACACTTTTCTGATTTTAGTCACCCACCTTCCCTTCTTCACCTTTCACCAACTTTCATGCCCCTCCTAAAGAAATGCTTCCCCACAGAATAATGCTGCCACCTCCATGCTTTGTGGTGAGAACAGGTTGTTTAAGATGGAGCTATTCAAAGGTTAAGATATACACCTTTATGCTTCTTTACTATTTTCTTGGTCTTTGTGATGCTTTTTGTTCACCAAAGTTCACTAAGAAAGAAACCAGAGGCTTTCAGTGATCAGCTGTATGTACAATGAGAAATGAGAAAGTAAATAGTAAATAATAAATAGCACATTTACTATTCATTGACCTCTAGAGTCAGTCGGCTTCCATTTTTATGCACAGGTGTCAGAATAAAGGGGTCTGAATACTAATGCATACCACACGTCAGATCATTACTTATTAAAAATGAACTATTATAAATTTTTTGACAAGGGAAAATGCAAAAAAATAAATAAATAAATAAAGAGAAGCAATTCCTTTTTAAAGCCATTGTAGGAATCCAGTGGAAAAGTATGACAGTGATATATATGTTTATATAAATACATATATATGCAATAACTTATTTTCTTGTAATGCTATAAGAATTAATAGCATAGTGTTTTATTTTGACCATTTTAAGTCTATAATGATGAAAGCAGGAAAAAATGTGCAAAAATATCACACCTACTTTTGCACCAACAGTGGCAGCCATACTTCCAAGACATGCAAACATGTGGCAAACTCCTCCTAATTTACCCCAGACAACCTTTCCAAACATCACCATCGTCACGGCAGCACACGAGCGTGAACCCGGTTCGACACATCGCGACCGCTCAGGTGTCACGAGCTGTGAGGAGCAAAGACCACATTCAAGAATTGGACAGTGTGTCATAAAGATCTCATGTTAAGAGGGCAGCACCTATGAGCCACTTGGCTGAGAATCACGTGACGTTTAATTATTGCCTCCTTACATTAGTTTAAACCCACCTCCCTCTATGGCTTCCCCTCTCAGGCATCAGTTGCGGTGAGAGTGTAGGATCGAGGCAGTGGGAAGCATAGACTGGTGTAGTTGGCAAAGAGGAATATATATATATATATATATATATATATATAACAAGGTATCATAGCAAATGAGTCGGTAAAACATCACTGGTCTGAAGAGCATGAAAAATTGTCATGATATCATTTGTAATTCCTGATTTAGGCCGCCGTTAGAGGAGAGAGACAGAAAATGAGGAGGAAAAAGCAGAGTAATGAAGGATTTATATATATATATATATATATATATATATATATATATATATATATAATATATATATATATATATATATATATATATATATATATATATATATATATATATAAAGCAGAGTAATGAAGGATTTATATATATATATATATATATATATATATATATATATATATATATATATATATATATATATATATATATATATATATATATAAATCCTTCATTACTCTGCTTTTTCCTCCTCATTTTCTGTCTCTCTCCTCTAACGGCGGCCTAAATCAGGAATTACAAATGATATCATGACAATTTTTCATGCTCTTCAGACCAGTGATGTTTTACCGACTCATTTGCTATGATACCTTGTTACAGATCCAGCTGTGAATCAGGGACGATTCACGGGGCTAGAAGCCCACCC